CAATGTGGAACAAAACTCAAAATCATTTGGAGGAAAAAAAAAAAAAAAGGTGGGGACGAGGTTTGCTGGTCGGATAGAACCTGGTGGAACCACTGAGATTATGGCCCCTAGCTGCCCTTCAGGTCTGGAATTAAACCCACATCTGTGGTTTCCAGCCAAACAAAATACAGACATGTGAGTTAAACATTTTTTTGCCATTTCCCCCCATAGGTCTCAATTAGACTTAAGGATTTTTGAGCTGTATTTGTTTACATTTTTATATTAAATAAATATTATAAGGAAATACAAGATAATTAAAATGAAAAAAAAAGTCATCTTGCCCCTCCAATCCTTTATTTCCCTTCTCAGAGGCAACTATACTTAACAGTAATTTTTTTTAATAAATTTCTGAAGTGTTTCTATACCCACATGAGCATGCTAGCATGTACATGTATCACCCCAGAAAGATGGCAATGATTTAATATTCCACTCATGTCTATTCATTTAGCTTTGCTTCTCATAAAACTGTATCTTGCAGATGATGGTCCAAGTGCCATCCTTTATCCACAAAAGAGTACCATTCTGATGCTGGATGTACTGTGACCAACTTTGGTATTCAAATGGGAGCCCTCAAGTCACCACACTAAGCTCTAGAGGCCCAGGACCGTATCTCATGCTGTACTTGGGTGCAGATGGGGCCCTAGAGGTGCAGAGACCAATAAGACTGCTGAATGCTGCTTCTCAGCTGGGAGGAGACTACATGCATCCTGGGCACATCAGAGATTGCTCAGGACCCCTGAAACCAAAGAAGGGACTTCTGACTTGGGCCTCTGGGGCATGCCTGCTGGATGGTCCACAGTGGTACTCACGGACCATGCTATGATTGGGCTACAAGCCTCTCACCTCAGTGGATATAGAGGCCTGAGCCTCTTTTCTTTGTTTCACTTTTACAATTGAAATGATGGCATGCTGACCACTCCTGGAGAGGATATTGACCAGGGACACCACTCATACTACACTCTCCAGGAACTTACAGTTCTGGCTGCTACACTGCTAATTAATGAACAACTTCCTGGAGATTTCAAAATGCCAAGCATGAGGCCATGGTTTTACCTTGTGCTTCAAATAATCCATTCTGAGGCTCTTTGGCACTGTCAGCCTCTTCATCTGACTTGAAACCCTGTGGAAAAATGGACAAAGACTATAAATCTTCTGGAGAATATATAAGTTGGTTTACTATGAAGAAAAAAATAGAATGGTATTTGTTGGATGGGAGAGGGGTCACTGAGGAAGAGGACCAGGAGCTTGTTGTCAAAGGCAGGATCGTCTAGATTCAAATCTAAAGACTGAAATATCATATTCTACACAAGCTCTCTTCTTCTCTGACAAGGCACTGCAGGACACCAAGCAAACAATGCCAAGTAGCAAAATCCAGCTCTGAGTGCAGCTGCAGGGGCCATGCTGAGAGGCACTGGCATGAGGATGTTTGTACACAAGCAGTGTGAAGAGCAGCTCCCTATGGAAAACACAAGTGGCAGAAAGTGGAAATAGGGAGCATGTCTTGTTTTGCATTCTCGGGGTTCTTCGATATAAACCAAAAAACATCAGTATTTCAAATTAAAAACATACTATGCTAATACAAATATTTAGTGAATAAAGATTTTCAGGTGCTGGTTGAGATGCTGGTGTTGAAGCCTCAGTTACTATCTCTTATCACAGAGTACAATCTTGAAAACAAGCTTTATAACATCATGGTCTCGTGGCATTCTACTCCTTATCTGCCATATCAGCTCAGTAACATGGGACTAACTAAAGTCAAGATCTCATGTTGTTGGCAATCACAAAATTAAAGTTTGCTGTGGATCAGGTTTTCTGACTTCTCATGACTGGCTATGGAATAAATGCCCGGCTGGCCAAGACTTGGAGGAGCCCTTTTGGTGCACTGGTTAAGCACTCAGCTGCTAACAGAAAGACTGGTGGATCAAATACAACAGCCGCTCTGTAGGACAAAGATATGGCAGTGTGCTTTGTAGAGATTTATAGCATTGGAAACCCAATGGGGCAGTCCTGTAGTGCTGCTATGATTCGGAATCAACTTGATAGCAGTGGGTTTGGTTTTTGGTTTGACCAAGACTTAGTATTCTTCAAAGCTGGCACAATCTTGACTGGAATGTGAGGGTAGATGAAAGGAAGCAAGAACGCTCTGGAAAGGGAGATCCGGCAAGATGGCGGACTAGGCAGAAAAACTGCACAGACCCTCCTCAACAAAGAAAAGGGAAAACAATTAACACAGACATAGAAGATAATCCTGGACTCGTGAGCTTTGAAGGGAAGGATATACAAGTGGACTAAACCCCAACTAGCAGAAGAATTTCCGTGAAAATACCAAAAAAGGAGACAGACAGAGCTGAGGTCTGGCAGCAATCCTGAGCAATCCTGATGGCACAGACAGCTTGGAGATTCCTGAGTGGTGGTAGGACATAAGAATTAACCTAAAAATCACCCTGCTAGCCAGGGACTACACGGAGGACTGTGCATGGTGGCCGGGGGACAAACGGAGAAGGTGAAGAAAAAGGTGGACTGAGCTGAGGACTTTTGCCGGTCTGGAGAGCACCGCCATTTTGCAGGTTTAAAAAGCGGCTTGACTATTTTGGATATTTAAAGAGACAGCACTCTTGAGAATACTGGTGCTTAAGAACATGTTCTGCTTTCCAGCAACCCCAGGACACTCAAGACCTGCAAGACTGACAAGGTATGACATTTCTCTTGCTACTCTTGGTGAACGAAGGTGCGGCCATCCTCCACTCCCACCTGCCTTCTGGGCCCACAGGAACTCCATCACAGTCAGTGTTCTCAGATGGAGCCTGGGTGCCCTGCCGTGTCCTCCACCAATTTTGTTTTTTCTTCTTGTTTTTATTTTTTTCTTTATCGCTTTCTTTTTTATGGTGATTAGTTTGCTTGTATTTGTCTATTTAAAAACAACTAATATTATTAATACTTTTGTCCTTTTTTTTATTATTCTTAATCTTTCCCTACCAGGTCCTAGTTTTCAGCATTTTTTTTTTTTTCCCTGTGCCTCGTTGAATTTTTTTTTTTTTCAATTTAAGGTTTTGGTTTATTTTTTCTTTTCTCCCTTTTTTCCTGTGGGTTACCCTGTTCCTTGATTTTCTTTCTGCATTTTTCCCATATTTTTTTTTTTCATTTATTATTCTCCATCTCTACTTTTTTTTTTCTTAGTGCCCTATCCCCAGATATTGCAGGTTTTCTTGTTTTTGTTTTTGTTTTT